TTTGAATCCATTTCCATGTCTTTGCCAAAGAATGATGGCTTAGGAGAGCTCAGGGCTACTTATATAGAAAAATATGTACATTTTAATCAGGTTAGCCTGAGTCCATATTATTGCATATTACTAAAAGTCCAAACAGAGTCAACAAAGTGAAAAAGTCACACTCCTTGCTAAATAGCCCAAATAATCTGGATTTTAATAAATTATAAAATTAAAGGTTCTAATTTGTATATACATTTTAATAGACAATTAATGGTGATTCATTGCAGCTGACATTAAGCCATTGTATGTAACTGGCTGTGCCATACAAAGATAGCTAATACTGTGCATTGTAGGTGAGTAAATAAAGTAATAAATGCATGATACAATAAAAGTAAATGACAAAAACCCTTTGAGTACTGGAAAAGCACCATTTAGGTATCTTTCAAACAAGCTTTTCTGTGTGCCAATTCACACAACCATTGGGCATACTGCATCTGTGGCTAACGGTTCTACTCAGACTGACTTTCTTCTCATGGAGAACTGGCTGAATGTCCCTGCAGCCAAACGATAGCTCCAGCTATTGTCTGACCGCAAAGATAATTGTCTAGCATTTCCTAATGTGTATTGAGAATCAAATATTTCACATAATCAGAAATGTTCATGACTGTTCCTTAATTAAAAGGCACTACAAGCAAGATTTTCAAGTGCCTGTTGTAATGATACTCAGGTTTCAAATTAATATGTTCAAATTTGGTCAGTAGCTTACTCCTAAAATATTCTTGTCGATGACTCTGCATTGCAGTTGTCAGTGCTAGTTTATTAATTAGTAAAAATTAATAAAATGGTGACAAAGGCTTTTCTTTTCCAAATTACCATAGAGAGGGAAAATGACCAGTGGCAGTAATAATTTGGATAAGGAGTGAATGCTTAGGTGGTTGGGTGCATGTTTTTCAATAATAGAATGTATGAATAGAAGAATGTATGAATAGAAGACATAAATCTGAATTCCTCTACTGAGATATTTAATGACTGATTGCATTTTCTTACACTCTGCTAGGATAATCTTACCATCTTCATTCATTAGATGTTCATCACAGTCCAACAAAGAAGGTCTACATGCAGAAGCTGCCCTATAAATAAGCACCAAATATATGTGCAAGGTTGTAGCTATATCTACACTGCCATACTCTTGAGCACTGTTCAAATGATTAAATGTCTTTTGATGTTTAATAGAATGCATATCCAAATGCCAGGATTTGGGGCAAATGACCAGAATTGGAACAGGACAAATAAACATTGAAAGGGGAAATCGTGTTACTCAAATGTGGAATCAATCCTATATTGTATGTTAACTTCTCCAACTTGGTGACCTTCAGATCCTGCCTATATCCAGCATTCACTCTTTTTTTGTTTTTGTTTTTTGTTTCCATTGATCTGACATGGCTATCAGATACTTCCAGACTGATCTCATTCAGCCTGCACTAGAAATAAACATGACCAATCAATAGGCTATAATGTGGATCCTTACATACAGGTGATAAGCTGTACAATAAACTTTGACTTGCTTAAGAAAACTTTGAACCAACCATTTTCTCTTAGCCTGATCTTCCTCACAAATGTATTTTGGTGGGAATAAAATGGATAGCCCTAAGTAAGGGGCCTTGAGCTCATGGAAGAAAGGCCAGATATCAGCCAAACAAAGAAACAAAATACATAAACAAACAAACAAACAAACAGAACAGATTTCAGCGATTATTTATTTAAGGTGCACTAATATAGGCGCTTCTTCAGTTAGATTCCGAGGGTAAGAATGACAGCAAAGGATTTCTTTGGTATCCATGTGCTGAGGTAAAGAAGGCCATATCAGTTTGGTCAACAGGGCAAGAACTGTTCAGGAACACAATGAAAGAATCATCAGCTGTTGAGAATAGCATGCAAACGATATGCCTATTTTCTCAGCAACTATTTAGATAAGCTGTTTTTAAACCTGCCACCAGTTTATGCTGATACCTACCCTCTACCTATCAAGATGGTTTTGAATTTTTTTGTTTGCAGGTTAAAAGGTCTATAATCAAAGCAAAGGTATAGTCATAAGCACTTTTACTAAGAAATCCTGGGGAGGGAGGTGTTACCTATGAATAAATTTTTATTTGACTGCAGCTCTCCCTTTAAACCAAGTAAGCAGTAACATAACCATGATGCTGCTGATATCCATGCATGCTTTTAGAAAGTGCTGTGCGAGATGAAACCAGTACTCAAAGGGCTGAAAAATGGAGAATGTTAAAATCTAAGCAAATACAGTACTGTTATGCATCTGTGTAATGACATCTGTTCGCTTCAGCAACAATACAATAGACCTAATTACCTGCTGATGGTACAAATTGTTCACTACCCCAGTGGATATGTGCAATATGTAGAAAATAAACAAAAGCTACATTTTCTTCGTACAAAAAGCACCAACTGAAATAAAAAGGAAATCCAGTCATTTAAATCAGTAAGACTGAGAGTAAAAGCAATAATTGTACCACAAGCTTTTAAGACTATGAAATGCAGATAAATGGAGGGTGGGGTGGGGGTGGGGACAGTGAAATTAGGATTATTTAAACTATCTTTCCAGTGAGTTAATATCTAAAATTTAATTTCAAATAGTTTTTGAAAATGTGATTATCTGGTTCATGGGTAATGAGGATTGCACATGTGATTCAGACAAATTCCACATCATGACCAAATCTGTGACTAAGGTCAAGGAAGATCCATGCAACGAGAGCCAAGTGTTTATGAGTACTTCAAGTTGCTGGAGAGAGACAGATGCTGTCTGCAAAATCTACTGTTTTGTTTCCATAACCACTAAGTTGGGGAGAATAGAAAAGGAGAGCAAAGCACTGAGTCAAGAGACTGATCCGTCTCTCTTCTAATCAAAGGATGACTTCATAAAGGGCCTTCGAAGTAGAAATTCTCTGCCTACAGCAATCTGGAGACCACTGAGTGCTCATTGTAAGATTTTAAGGACATCTCCAAATCAAAATATTTGCCGAAGGAGAACATTAGTTGTTTTTATGAAGTATCACCTAACCAAAATACTTGTTTAAACAAGTATTTTAAACAAGAATCCCAACAAGACAAGGTTGAATGATAGACGTTGCTTTCCAAACCATAGAATGGATTAGCATTTTACAATCCTAAATTTGTAGACTTTCTTGACAGAAAACTCCTGAAAGAAAAGTGTATACCTGCAAATGTCATTAAATTCTTCCTACAGACTTCAAAGTTATTGACAAGAGCTTCACTGTACCTCTTTTTGAAATTGTATAGGCTTCACCCTTAGAGGGTTCTATTGTGCCTATAAAGTTCATCACTTCTGGCAAAAAGTAACAGAATATTGATCTTCATTTTTGCTGTTCAGTGGGAAGTACAACTCTAGCTTTAGATTAGGTCTGCATCAAATTGGACAGCCTCTTTTGATTCTGAGTCAGAGTGAGCTATTGTCTGAAGTATCAAATGGGGCCCCAAGCCGACATTTGTGGTCCGTGCACTTTTAGAAGACACATTTGTACATACAGAAAACCTATACAAGATGTAATATAAGTTAATGCTTCAAATGTATACAAGCCAGATTTTTATAGCAGAGTTAGATTTAGTATGGGGCTCGCCTATCTGAAGTTGATGGGCTTAGTGTGGGTGTTCATGGGGAGGGGGAGGCAGAAGAGGTGCAAATGACAAGATAGGTGCAACATCATCACACAAGTATTGCTATTTATATATTTGAGGCAGAGATTGGAGTTCAAGTGTGTCAGCATGGCATTTGGTTGATGATGCCCCTATGCACGTCCTTCTGGCTTCATCACAGTTTGCTGCAAATGATGCTGGAATTGGTATATCATAAATGAGAAGGGTGGGTTGGTCTCTAAGTGAGAAGATGAAAAGAGACACAGTGTTTGGAAGTGATCACCTTGCAATCCTTAGGTCAGGGGCGTAGACCTTGATGCCCACAGTCTCATGAGGCCCCTGAAAGCTTTGGGTGCAGCTCCCAGCATCCTTACAAAAGGGCCACCAACATGTAACTTTTAATCTAACACAAGGGAAATGATTAAATATATTGGGAACAATCATATTAGTTGTATTGAATTTTAATTATATATACATTAAATTAACTTAATTTTGGATTTTTGTCCTAGCCTTGCCCACTTCTTTGTTCTGGCCCCATCTTTGTTCTGGAGTGGTGGCTCTCCAGCATGCTCTTCAAAGGTGAAATGTGGACCTTGGGCTCAAAAATCTTGTGCACCCATGGTTTCTAATATTGCTTCTCCAAGAATGAGAATGTGAAACTCAACTTTGATGTGCACATAGGTAGTAGCCTTAGAACCTTTTTTTTTTTAAATGTTCTTTTACTGTTTCTGCAGAACATTTCTTCCCAGTTGGAATTTGTACAGTAACATCATAACATCACCTATTGTGCTTTTCAAGTGGTTAATGTAGTTAGTGTAGGTTTAATTCCTAAAACAGGGTTGAATTAGTTCCTCAACACTTCAGTTAGACTCTTTGTTGCTCCCTGAGTGTGGAAGTAGCACCGCTGAATTCAATGGAAAGACCGACATACTCAAGTTCAGTGCAGTGGATGTTAAAGTTCTTCTACAGAGAGAAATTTGATATTTTCAAATAAATGGCAATCAGATTTAAAAAAACAGACACACACTTTCTTACTACTGGAATTCTATAGGCTGTTTCTGTTAAGTATTTTGGATCCATTGATTAGACTTTTCATTGATGAAGATGGTATACCCAAGTAGATTCCATTGGATTCAAACATACACACAGAGGGAGCAAGAAGGAAAACAAAAAGAAACAACCCTGCTGACATTTACTACAGGTAGTCCTCATTTAGTGACCACAATTGGCACCAGCAACGCAATCATTAAGCGAAGCGGTTGCTTAGTGAAATCACAACTACGCTTACAATCTTACTTCAGCTTTCCTTTGCTTTGCAGACCCGCAAAGGTCATAAATGCGAGGACTGATTGTAATATTACTTTTTCATCACCACTGTAACTACAAACGGTTGCTAAATGAGGCAGTCGCTAAACAAGGACTACCTGTGTGTAGCATTGTTGGATAGCAGTTAAGCTATGACCACCTGTAACCCTAACCTTTGTTATACTGTTTATCTTTTCTTTAATTAAATAAGCCTACATTTCTATTTATTGCAAGCTATAGCATTAGGCATTTCTGCCATAGCACCACTATTTTAAAAACTTAGTCTCTAGGGTGGCATGGGCATTACTGCAGCACTGTAACATCTCTATAAGAGAGAAAATATATATCTGTATATATAGTTATATTTCCATTTTAACGTAATTCCCTGAGCATTCCTTTTTTCCTTTTTTCTGCAATCAGCTCCTGAATTCTTTGGTTCCTTGTCCTTTCATATGGTGGTCTCCTCCTCCTCCAGATGATGTTGTGTTGTGGCACTTCATTTTCCAGCTCATGAATTTTATAGGGTACATCCAGTGTGTTGCCTTCTGGCTGCTCTATGGTTACATTAGAACTGGAGATATTTACCTTGGCAACAACTGGTGGACCTGTTGTTCTATGTGGTGTATGATCTTCAACAGATGTTGCAAGGGTGGGAGTGATGTCCTCTTCAATATCATTAACTGTTGAGTTTCCATGTCCTATTTCATTAGTGTACATACCACAAGACTTGCAACACAGTTTATTATATCCAGGAATGGTACAGTACCGATGGAGAACTTCCATGCGACAAAACATTGATCTGTCTCCTTGGCAATGTTCTGCTGAAAGAGAAAAATAAATTTAAATGTATGCTATACATCCAAAACAGAATCAAATAAACTTGGCCTTAAGAGGCCCTTGCGTACAATAAGATATTATATGTGCTCTTAACTAAAACTCTCTTATGTTTCTTTGCAGTGATCAAAAGCTAGAAAACAGATTTTATGTAGTGATTCAATCTTCAGGGGATATGGGGACAAAGTGACAATTCCTAAATGATGTAAGTTCAAATGTGACCCCAAATGCACACATTAAGGTTATGCAGGATATAACTGTTTAGGCATGATAGTGACTTGATGTGCTTTCTGTTAGAACTACCTGCCATATGGATCACCCTAGTTACATGCTGAATTTTCCTAAACTCAGGTCAACAGGTTGTACTGAGTATGGTATATCAGTGGAATTAAAATTAGTTATATAGGAAGCAGCTTTCTGATTGATTTTACATGCACTTCTGTTAATCTGACCACAGGAAGTTACTTAATATATTTGGCCTAACACAGATTACACACCAGCATACTGCACTTTGACTTCTTATTATTCAATTGCTTTAATATTAACAACTGGAGGCAAATATACATTGGCAATGATGTAAACAGAATTTTGAGAGCCTTAGTGGTGGGGAAAAATGCTATACACATATAAAGACTCCATTCACTATACTACTTGCCACAGAAGTTGCAAATAGTCAGTGTCATCACAAGTCAGTGAGAATTATATAATCACTGAGCATGCTAAGTCTTCATTGGTCTTTGATGGGAAGGACAGAGTTTATTTTTTTTCTACAGGTTTCTTGGCTTCTTTTTTGGCTACGTAAGAACAGACACTTAGCTGAAATCACTCTTTCTTCTCTCTCTCACCCTGACATCAAGATAAATTGCCATCAAAGACGCAAATTCATTGGGCTTTATCCTTTTTGCTTCTATTATTTTATAATAACATACCATGTCATCATCCAAATGTTAAAGACTTGGGTGGCATATGTACAGAATCTTCCATCTATAAAGAGTGTACCATTTTCAGAGCTTCCATATATTGCTAGAACATTACTAGGCAGACATCAACCAGGAACTTCTTAAATGTAAGAACCAAGATAGTTCTCTAATCTGATTGTCTTACTTTCTGAGAGAGGTTGTCCACTACACAACTGAGATACCTAACATTTAAAAAAACAAAACAAAACACTTAACACTGTATTTAGATGAACCATGAATCCTCCATTGTAGGAACTGATGGACCAAGAGAAGGTAATGCATAATTTTCATTGCCATGGGGAATTGAACATTTACAAATTTATTCCCCAACAAGCTTCAAAACTTCAGTTCTTCTGAGAACTAAAACAAATATTATCTTTCCTTCATGACTCATGCCCTTATCTAAACATCTATGCGTGCCTAATTATGCCTTCAAAATGTGGAAGAGTTTTAAAAGAAAATAACAGAGAGACATGTTATTTCTTGTGTTTCTTTCTAATGTCAGCTCTCTGTATGAGGAACATGCTAAGGAAGAGAGAGGTTAGCATAAAATGCTGGATCAGTATTGAGACTGAGTGCTTGTTGCAGGAAACCATCTCTGAGTTATGCTGCATTATGTGTCCAGATGGGAAGAGAAGGAACACATCCTTATTGCCATCTGGTGATAATATTAATTTGGATGCACAGTTAACATGGTATTTAATTTCATACTGCATCTGGCTGCAACATGGCCTTATTGTTTTAACTATATTATTATTATTATTATTATTATTATTATTATTATTATTATTATTATTTTTATTGCTACTGCTACTGCTACCCTACTGTGATAAGAACAGAGTAAGTCCAGGAATCATATATGCTGAAGAAATACAGTGGTACCCCGGGATACGAACGCCTCTACTAACGAACTTTTCGGGGTACGACCAG